CTGTGACAGGGTCACAGATCATTTTCTTGAAAAGGAACGGAGGGAAGAATTTATAACCTCATGTACACATTTTATGATGTAGGCCGAAACTGAGCTTCCTCTTGTTGAAAGACCAGCGTCCACCACTGATTCACACATTAACTCACTCACGTGACTGCATGAAAACATGAACTGCAGTAACACAAGTTTAAGTTTTAAGATTCTACTGGACGTTATCTGTGAGCACCAATTTATTGTACTGTTTTATCTTTAATCTGGCTGAGGAAGCCTTGGGTTTTAACTTCAGTCTCTAAGAGTTTCTTCAAATAACTTCAGTGAACTGATGTACGGCTCTGAGCTGCTTTGCCTCAGTGTTTGCTGAATAAACKCCTCACCAAATGTCTCTGACAGCTGTTAGCTTCACGACACCTGCCATCACAGCTGTGCAGTTTGTCCGAGGTTTCTTTACCATAGGTCAAGTGACTGTGCTGGTGTCATGTCAGTTTGCACTGAACAGTAAACATTTCAAAGGTTTCAACTAWAATATTGTACAGTTTTAGTGGAAGGTGTTTTTTTTTATATAAAAGTGGAACAAATTCTTAGTATAAACAATGTAAATGTTTACTGTTCCATGGTGAATAACATTTATGAGATTTGCAGATTCTGTTTTTATTTACATTTTACACAAGCTCCCGACGTTTAGAATTTGGGTTGTTTATTAAGTAAAAGACTTCAGTACCGAGAGCTTCAGCTTGGCCCTTCTCAGCTGCCATCATCAGTGCAGTGTGACCGGTTTGGTCTACAGCGTCTACAGGTGCATCATGGGAAAGGAGCAGCTGGATGCAGTCCACATGACCTGCAAATGCTGCAGCATGAAGAGGAGTCCTGCAGAGGAGAGACATGAAGATGAAAACAGACGATGCAGTGAAGACAACAATGGCTCCCCCCTGCTGTCTTACCTGCCCTTAGCATCTCTGCAGCCGGCGATGTCTGATCCCATGGCCTCCAGCAGCAGCGACGCACACGGCTCGTGACCATTTAACCTGACGTTAACCACAAACACACGTTCACTCCCAGTGTCTGCTGTCAAACATGAAAAAACACTCAACAAAACTCACACAGCGCAGTGCAGAGGGGTGAAGGGATTCCCATCGATGCAGCGACAGCCTTTCTGCTCCAACAGAACCTCAACACAACCTTCATGGCCTGAASACAAAACACATGGGCTCAGCTGTTGGCACTGCAGTGAACCACGAGCTGAGACAGAAAAAACACAAGACCTGGACAAGTCACCGTTCTAAACACATTGTTTTATGTTTACCAGACCTTGCTACAAAGTTAAAGCCTGATCCTTTGAAGGAGTGAATATCACCCGCCAACTTTAACATCACTTTTTGAAATGTAGACCATCTTGAGAGATTAGAAATTTGTAGCTGTGTAGCAGATGGTGTGTTGTAAACCAGAGGTTCTTAACCTTTTTGACCTCGGGACCCAATTTGTTGAACATAAATTGTCACGAGGTCCAGTCAGACATTACCAGTGTATGGATCAAAATGATAATTATTCTAATCTAAATCTTAGTTTAATTTTTATTGTATTTACATCATAACTAAACTATACTAACTAACATAACTAAATTAAATACACTTACAGTTTAAAAGTAAAACTCCTGTCAAATAATCACAAGACATGATTATGACAAATATTTTTATATTGTAACCTGCCCATAACAATTATTTGAACAAATACAAAGGTCAGTCAACAGAGCACTCAGGCTTATCAACACAAATATATATATACAGGTGCTGGTCATAAAATTAGAATATCATGAAAAAGTAGATTTATTTCAGTAATTC